TCGGTCCGAGGGGGGGTGTCAGGATTCCATCCCGTTTAGGTTTAGCGTCCCGACTTAGTCAGCCTATATATAGTTGGCCCCTGAGCCATCCTAATTGGACACTTGGCGCTTCCCGATTCTCTCAAATCCCAGCCGCGGCCAAGGCATTTCGAGTAGGACGAATATCGCACTAGAACAATTGAGATGATTCATTGAATGAGTTCAGCCTGATGTACGGAGTACATTGATGAATTCTTGAAATAGCGTTATGTACTTTGAAGCAACTAGCTAGAAGGTACTTGAAGAAAAACTGATTGATATGCGATACGATATAATCTCGATGCGCCCATTCCTTGATCCTTGAGAAACTCCTGACTCCGGATAACGGATGACTTTATGCAATAGGAAACAGAGGATTCAAGCCTCATCAAGGTTCTAAAACATGGTTCACTTCGATGGTAACCCCATCTTCTGTGCTCTTGCTCTCCTTGGCGTGTTTAATGAGAAGCTCAAATTCACCCTCGCTGCCGAAAAGAAAATGTTGCGCACGCTCAGACGAAATCTGACATGAAAGAATCGTGACGTTGACATTCTTGTCGAATAGTCGGAAAAATTTCCGTGCCTTTTCGAAGAGATCTCTCCCGGTCTTACATTCCTCTAGGGGAAAGGCGCGAATAGCGCCCGACTTATAGGAGACAAGCTTGAAAGTCACCTTGGCCGGGTTGGGCGCCTTGCGAGTCCTCGCTAGAGTATTAGATGTTTGTTCTTGGAGCCTGCGCCTCTTGACAATTGGTGCAGTGATGTTTCCATCTTCCTCCTCTTCGGACGATGATGAAGCGTCGGAGGATTCCTCTGCCGACGAGTCTGTTTCATCAGATGACTCTGAAGCATCCCCAGAGCTCGGATTGCTGGTCGCAACCTCGCGCTTGAGGCGGTGCTCCCTCTTCCTCTTTTCCGGCTCCTTTTCTCGTTCGCGCTCTTGTCCCCGGTTCTGTACGCGCGGCTGAGGTGGAGCCGTGGCCACTGACAGGTGCCTCTTCTTGATACCCTCACCCTCTGGGTCCAGATCGGGGACTGTGACTTTCCAGATATCCCGAGAATAAACGATGTCCTTCAGTGCCGGAGCGAATTTACGAATGGCGCAGCATTTGGCCTCGAATCCATTGTTCACACCCCGCCATGCGACCAGGAAACTTCCGTGCTTCGTCCAGTTCGGCCAACGGCTTCTGACCAGCTTCTGCGGGAAGTCAGGCGAATGTAGCACGAGGACCGAGTACGCGCACGGCGAGAGGATGTCGAATTTTGAAAGTTCCAACTCCCGGCCCTCCCGGTCAAAGACCTTCCATTTGTTCGTGCACGGTTTGCTGTTATTATATGTGCACGGCGGGAGCTTACGACCATTCTCCTTGTGCCATTCGTCGAGGATATCAACGAGGTGGTCGGGCATCGGTTGCTTTGGACCGTATTCCGGTATAGGGTTGATCTTTATCGTCCGACGAGAGGCCTGCTCATCCGCGTCCAAGGCGGATAATGATGGTTTCCGCTCTTCGTCGGAGTGGACATCTATTGCGACCCTAGAGCCAGAAGGCAAGTACAGATGTTAGCGCGCCTGGCCTCACGTGTATGCATGCCATTTGATACGTACTGGTCCCCCATGTTTGGGGTGGAGCTCAAAGGGCTTTGTCAGCTATAGATCTGGGACAAAAAATGCTTTGCGGCCGGATTGAGAAGAAGAAAGAGGACATTAGGAGAGAAAACGAATGCACTTGAAGAAAAGGAGAAAGAGTAGCTAGGTTCTCGGCGCAGAACAAACAAAAACACTAGATGATTCACTTCTACTTCGGGTAGCTGCTCCAACTCAAAGCAAAGAGAACGCGTCCAGATGAGCCGGCGCAATGCAAGTGTGTAACTGATTGGCCCTCCTCTTAGTTCTGGGCTTTTTTGGTACCTTTCTTTAGCTTAAGTTACTGTCTTGGAGATCAGTGGGGTTTCAAGCCTTGACAGGTAGCTTGTGGGCTAACGCTGAGGGATTCGGCAAGCTACCTAGTAAGCCTAGAAAATACCCGATAGTGTCTCTTAAAGTCTCTAGGCGCAGTCTGTGCTATAACCTAATTTGAGGTGTTTCAATCCTAACTGAGGGTTGTGCCGTCGTCAGGAAAGACTCATGTCTAATGTCTATACTCCCATCCATTATCCTTCAAAAAACAACATCTGAATTGAGTTGATTATGTCGATGCATGACCGTTGGAAAATCCGCTCAACGTACTAACTTACTCATGGCTTACTGTACAACCTACAGTAGGTCCAGCCCATCTCTTGGTGAGACGCAAGGATTCTACTATAGAAGCTGCAAGGAGCTTCGGCAGAAGACCAATGGTGAAGAGGAGTGAGATCAATCACAATATCATGCCACTTCCATCCAGTATTATTGCAATATTAAAGGGACCGCCAGAGAGATCGTGACCACCTTAAAGCACTCATGATGCAAAAGTCAATCTATGAATTAAATCTAGAAAGATCAACCTCAAAAGATATCAAGTTTCCTCTATGCGTCATCAAGCACGTATGCCGAAAGTCTATGCCAATCAAGCGGCCCGACTAAGGATAACAGACGGGTAGTTGAGGAAGATAGGTGTAGCCATAGTGATAGTACAAAGAAATGTCTAGGATGAGTCGACGTGAAGTATGAATGCAGGTAAGTGAGGAGCAGGTGAAAGATTCATTCGGTCTCACATCGGAACAATGCAATGAGACCCGCGAAAGCATTAGAAAAAGTATATCATAACGCAAGTGACGCTGTGCAAAACGCTCATAGATGATGAACAATGAGTATGTCAGAGGATCGGAAATGGTGTTTCTGTTAACAGACAGTTTGAACGAGCAGCGTCGATCGTCAAGGGTTGAGAAACAGAAACATAGGGGAAAACGTCAACGAGAGGGTATCAAAACTGAAGTGACGAGAAGGTGTTGGTGATCCAGATGGGCGTGAAGATATGGTCCCTCGAGCTACGTCGAGCTCGAACCCTCTTCCTTCTTGGATTGAACGGCTTCCTTCGCCGCCTGGATCGCGGAAGCTGCATCATGAATACTATTTCTGCGACCCCAGTTCTCTGGTTGTCTCCTGAGAAATGCGCCAACAGCGCCGAGGTAGCCTTCATGGCGCAGGAAGTAGCCTTGTTTCTCGCCCTTGGACCAGAATCGGATGGCATACGACAATGTATTCATCGTCTGATGATGGCCGCGAATGAACGAGCCGCCAAAGTAGATGTGCTTGACCTGGTGCTTCTCAGATTGTAAGTAGGCAATTTGCCCGATGTTGTTACTGAATGCTGTTAGCGGCGACTGCTCATTGTCGGGTCATTGATGACAAGCAGGAGCGTACCTGATAGCATACAGCAAGCTTCGGCTCATGTCTTCAGGGCTGAACTTCACTTCACCATTTTGTTGCTCAGCGTCGCCATGACAAAGACCTTCCCCATCCTCGGCATGCCGCTCGGCAGCATTCTTCAAACGAAAGACCTTGCCAAATGTGCTAGCGATGGCAGTGCTCTTAAGTCCGATCTTGCTGTAGTCCATGCCGTAGATATCGCCGACTAACATGTCCACCCCACTGTTGTCGCCCCGGTCCGCCATGGCCAGCATGTCGTCAAAGGTCCGGGCACCGGTCAGCAACGACATCAGGCCCCAGAATGTGCCACCGCCGAGGTGAGTACCACCCACACGCTCAAATTGCTTTGGACCAGATACTTTGATCATTGATACTCCTGAACCGATGTTGACTAATAGGTACGGGTAAACATCCGCTCGGGCCTCGGCAAATTGCATCGGCTCGGCTTCGCTGTATGTAAACACTTCATTGGGAATCTCGGTAATGAAAAAGTCAAGACCTGTGGCAGGAATTAGTTGAGTAAATTCTTTCGGAATGCGAAGATTGAGATAATCCAGCAAACTGACCTGTTATGAGGCATTCCATTTCGTCTTCCCGTATGATGTTCACGTTCAGCGTCTCTTTCAGCTTATCGTAGTACTTGTAGGCGCCTCCTCCCGTAGCAACGACACACAGCTCGTCTCCAGAGGAGCCATTGAGTCTCTCATGTTCCTCTTTCAATTGCCTGATGAAGTCAATGCACAGATCGATCCGGTGAGTTTCGAAATTGATAAAATTCAGGCGACCACCGTTGTCAGGCGAGTCCAATTCCCTGGTAAAATATACGAGCTTCGCGAGCGAGCCTCCAATCTAGAGATTGTGCAAAAGTAGAACGGTTAGAGAAATTTCCTTGTCTTTTTTGAGGTATGCGCGTTGGTCGACTCTTTTTCTGTTCGAGATTGCGGGGTGATGATTCTGCGGGGAACAGCGGGAAAAAAAAAATGACGGGCACTCACATCGACAGCGACATGGCTCACGATGCCAGTATGATGTGGGAGACGAATATCCTGACTCTCATAGTGAACGCCGTCCGTGGATGAAGCGGGACTTTTCGATCGAGGCTCTTCGTCAACAATGAAAGCACCTTTGACGTTGATCTTGACAGCTCCAGGGTTGGTGATAGCTTGCTCGAGTCGGACAGTTCGCTCTGTGAATGAATTGGTCACACGTTTAGGTGCGACCGCATCTGGGCCGACCGAATTGGACTTTGGGGAGGAAATAGGCATGGTGATGTCTCAACAATCATGAGAAAGGGGAGTGATTAGAAGTTCGGTGTCATTATCCGCAGAAGCTTAAAGACCGCCAGTGACTGTGGTCGCCATTTCGGAGCAAAGGGACGCCGTGATAACCACTACAGCGTATATCTCCTTCTGCCCGTTTTAGGTTGTTGAGGAGTGGAACCAAAGCGTTAGTACTTAGTAGGGTAGTACTGGACGGGGCGGAGCATCCCAATCCTTACTTCGGCGGATGGAACCGATACCGAGCTTGTAGATGGGCAGTGTCGGAGAGGATATGTAATCATGAATAGGTTGCTGAATGGGAAATAATGAACATATTTGATCGGTCATAGTGATGGATCTGTCAAGCGGGATGTGGTCATCTCCTTCCATTCCGCTAAATGACGTCTGTCGCTGATTGGTCTTGCTAGCCAAGGCCTGAGGCATCAAGCCACACTGAAGTGCACATGGGAACTACTGCCCCCAAGCTCAGTCTGTATACCTCAGTTGATCATAAGCAGCGTGGGAATCGTTCTCAGATTCTACAAGAGTCTGATTTCCTAAAAATTCTGACTAGAATACTGTTCCTTGTCGGTACAAGTTTCTTGAAGCAACTGATGTCAGCAACAAATGTATATCTCCATCAGGATATATCAGAAGAAGCACTGCGATCATGCTCTATCTAACAACTCAAAAGCATCTACACAAGATTCTACCTAATGAGCTGTCTCCTGACTGTTATGTTCAGGCCCCAGATAAGTCAAAGGATATATGGAATGAAGATATCTAGAGAAGCAAGACGAAGAGTACGCTAATTGCTCTCCTCACAGAATTGAACACAATTGTTTCTTTCTCCCATGTCTGCTGGAATACTAGCAGACGCAGAGCAACCATAGATAGGCTCTACGCCTACGAGGAATACCTTACAGACTAGGTTCTCTTGAATCCATTGAACTGCATATCGAAATACTGTTGAGAAGAGCCAAAGACATGCCAACCCGCAGGTAAACGAAACAGAAGGCTACCTGCATATCAGGCACAGGTTGTCAACAACTCCTTTTGGCAAGGCTGACAGTTGTCCAATCTGATTATCTACTCTCTTCCATCCCTCTGATGTCCTGAGTTCTTCTATGTATTATACCGGTTGTCAGCGTAGCAGAAAATACTTCTGGCAGCATCAACCAGCTATGGTGACTATGAGGAGCCATAACGGGCCTTCTAATCAGCTATTTCCTTATCTACATAGTATTCTAGGATCACATATAACGTCCTTCTGAGATCTTTTGTCAAGGTTCTTTGTTACTCTCCCCTCTTTGAACGATACAGAGCTCGCAGCGTTGTCTATATTCCTAGCCGGCACATTGCTTTCCACAAACTTCCCTTGCCTCCTCTAGATGTTCCAGATCTTACACTCTAGTAGCTCTCTCTTCTCTCAGCTTGCGATGCAGACAATCGCATTCAAACAGACACAGAGCACCCAACAGAAGAAAGACCCGCCTCACCAGGACGCATCAGGTTGGGTGACGGGTCCGCTTAGTCGGCGACTCTGCTTTCTACTATTCCGGCAGTTTCTGTAGTTTGTGTTTGTTTTGATTCCTTGTCATCTCCCATCCTTCTCTGAGAAGAATTTTCTCTCCTTCTTTCCTCCTCATCTATCCTCCGTGAAGAAGCTCATAGAGTGCTTTACTCTCTGTGTGTGGATGATCATCATCAGTCTCTTGACTATCTTCTACCAGTACAACAAGTGGTTTCTCCTAGGTGGGATATTCCCCCTTTGCTTTGTTTCGCTAGGTTCGTTCCCTCTCTCCCTATCTCTTCTACCATCCCCTGTATCGTCATTTCCTCTTACTCGGCGTGCATTGCTTCTCTTTCCAAGTGGCAAAGTCCTCTTCTCATATCTCGAGCAAGAATCGAGTAATTGGCCTCTTTGACTGTTTTTGATAGTGATTTTCTGACATCTCCACTCGTTCTAGACTTCCCAAACGCGTTCTGAGCTCCAAACACCGACCCAT